ACTTCAATTCAGTCATTTCATGCTTCATGTATTTTGGTGCTCTGTTGTTAAGGCACAGATATGTTTTAATTGTTATATTTTATCATTATGAAATGTCCTTCTTTGTCTCTAGTAACAAGTTTTGTCTTAAAATCTATTTTTTCTGATATTAGTATAGCCACTCCAGTTCTCTTTTGGTTACTAACTGCATGGTAAATCTTTTTCATCATTTTACTTTCAACCTATTTATGGTTTTGAATGTAAATTATGTCTCAAACAGCATAGAGCTGAATGTTTTTAAACCCATTCTGCCAATCTCTGCCTTTTCCTTTGAGTGCTTAATCTACTTATGTTTAATGTAATTATTGGTAAATTAGGAATTACGTCTGCCATTTGCTATTTTCTATATGTCTTATGTCTTTTTTTTGTCCCTTCACTCCTGTATTTCTGCCCTTTTTATCTTAGATATTTTTCCAGTATACCATTTTAATTCCCTTGTTGTATTTTTTACTAATTTTATTTCGAGTTATTTTCTTAGTGGTTGCCCTGGGGATTACAATTAACATTTTAACATAATCTACTTTGGATTAATAGCAACTTAATTTCAACTTTATATAAAATTTTTGCTATTGTATTGATATATCTCTGTTCCTCCCCCCCTTTGTGCTCCTGTTCACATACAAATTACATCTTCATGCATAATAAGTCCATCAACACATCTTGATAATTACTAGTCCATGCAGTTGTCTTTTGAATTGGATTATAGAAGAAAAGAGTTAGAAAAATTAATTTATAATTTCTTTTGTATTGACCTATGTATTTACCTTTACCAGTGTTCTTTATTTCTTATGTGGATTGCTGTCTACTGTCCTTTCATTTCTCCCTGAAGGATTCTCTTTAGTATTTCTTATAGGACGTGTCTGCTAGCTCTGTCTTTGTTCATCTGGGAATGTGTTGATTTCTCCTTCATTCTTGAAGGATAATTTTCCTAGATTTCCTTAAATGCTTTGATCCAATAAGTCTCCCAGCCTTTGCTGAAGGGCTCTGTGCGTGCGCGTGTGCGCGCGCGCGCGTGCGTGCGTGTGTGTGTGTGTGTGTGTGTGTGTGTGTGTGTGTTGGAGCCTGATTTCAATGCTCCGTCAGGCAGCTTGCCTCAGGCTTCACTTGCTGTTTGCACAGGGCCTCAAGGCCAACCAGAGGTGAGAGATTAGGAACTTCTCAGGTCTTTTCTGAGACTATACCCAGTCCTGAACATGTGCCTGGCCTTAGAGATTCCTGGGAATATTTTCAGAACTTTTCAAAGTCCCCTATGGACATGAATTCTCCAGCTTTTCCTTTTAAGGTTTTGAGCAGCTTCATTTGCCCCAACTGTTTCCCCCGCGTTAGGCAGCTGTGATTTTAAACAATTGAAGCTGATTAATGCTCCCTGAAAAGGCTGTTCACAGTGAGTGTGCTCTGAGTCAGGTCAAATAAAGAAGAGCCCCACAAGTGGGAGCTACCAGACAAGTCAAATAGTGACAGTTCTCTGGGAATAGGGCATTTGGGGGAGCTCCAAGCCCATTCTGCATCCTCCAGTGGATGCTAGGATTTTTTCAGAGACTGTAGTTGTGAGGCTGTTGGTTTTCAGAGATACCCTGGAGCTGGGGAGAGGGAGAATAGAAATAGGGCAAGTTAAAGCACCCCAAATTTCAGTATTCTTACTGAGATTAGGCCATTTCTCTTGAATAAACATTTTTTGGATTGTTGCAAGCCTTTGGTTAATTTCCAGAGTTCTGAAAAAGTTGATTTTGACAGTTTTTTCCAGTGTTACTTGTATTTATGTAGGAGTAGATTTTCAGAGTCTTTCTCCACTATTCTTGAAGTCTAGAGCTCAAAGATACTTTGACTATGTTCAATTTTCACTTTACTCAATTTGTGGAGAACTGAATGCCTTCAGAGATGCAACTCCATTGTATGCCACTTTGCCTCAATTCAATTTTATTGCCCTCCTATTGTTTTTTTATTGCCCTCCTATTGTTTCCTCAGTGTTGTACTTCCTACCTGTTTATCAGTTTTCTAAGAAATGTTGTTTGGTAGTTTAGAGCAAGAGTACCAAATCATGTGTATGGCCTGGTCGCTTTGGATGGCCCCCTGAAGTAAAAAATGTTTCTTACATCTTTAAAGCATTGTAAAAGAAACAAAACCCAAACAAACAAACTGTGTGACAGAGACCATATGTGACCAGCAAAGAGAGCCTAAAGTATTTACTATCTATCCCCTTACAGAGCAAGTTTTCCAACCCCTGATTTACAGTGTAGGGATTATGGGTTGGTGAGAAGTGAATCTATTTGCTCTAGTTGCCTTTGTTGTGTTTTTTAATGAATCAGTCTTTCTTTAAGAGCCCTCAGAGCTGGTAGAGACCTTACAGGTTGTACATTCTGTATTTTCTTGATGAAGAAACCAATACTCAAAGACTTATTCAATGTCACAGTACTACTTAACCAGGAGTAAGACCTCAAGTTTCTGAATACACTTTACTTCTCTTTCCATTCTAAGCGGCCTGACAGACTTCCTGCCCCTTCTTTCTCAGCAAAAAGCATTCTGTGTTAGATAAGTAAGTCCCTCTCCTCCCCATTCTTGTCCCCCTTCCTCATCTTCACTTTTTCCTTTACCTCAAGGAGAAGCTGCATTCTCTAATTTTCTTGGGCTATCCGCTACTGAAGTTCTCTGTTTCCATTACCAAAGAGAGTCTCTTAAGTATCCAGAGACTTGACCCTAACATTTCCAGTTTCCTTTAGTATTTTGCTGATAATGTAAATGAAAACAGTGGTTTTCAAACTGTGTTTCATTTGGGGATGGGTGAGATTCTGCCTCCCCCATGTCTGGTTCAACCAAAACAACTACACTTTTATTTATTTCATATATTTGGCTTCCAAGAAAAATTTCATTTGAATAGAGAATTTAAAAGAGAAGCGAGAGAGAGATGGAGCGAGAGATTTGAAAAGCTCTGATTTAGACAATGGGTGAAGTAAGTCCAGGAGTAATCACAAGGATCTCCAAATAGAGCTCTGGGAACGGTGGGAAAAAAACAATGCCATATCATCCCATCTCCCCAAGACATAGACAAGGCTTGGGGCAGTATTGGAGCCATGAATCCTAATTCCTGGTGGGAACTGGAAGCATTAAGAAATAAATTGGACTTAGGTGATGGGGTACATTTTCTGGGTTAGCCACTTGTTCAGGGCCTGGCAGCTCTCTGGGGGCCTGAAATGAACCCATAACTGATATACATCCACAACTGATTTTTGACAAAGGTACAAAAGTCAATCAGTGGAAGAAAGATAGCTTTTTCAATAAATGGTGCTGGAGCAATTAGATGTTCCTAGGGAAAAAAATGACCCCTAACCCAAACCTCATATCTTATGTAAAAATTAACTCAAAAATGGATTATAGATGTAAATGTAAAGCATTTAGAAAGGAAACATAGGAGGAAACCTTCTGATCTTTGGCTAGGCCAAGAGTTCTTAGATTTGACAACAAAAGTGCAACCCATAAAAGAAAAAAATGATAAATTGGATAAATTGGACCTCATCAAAATTAAAAACTTTTGCTCTGTCAAAGACCATGCAAAAGTTATGAAAAGACAAGCTACAGACTGCAAGCCACATATCTAACCAAAGCCATATATAGAATATGAAAATGACTGTTAAAACTCAACAAAAAGAAAAATCCAATTAGAAAATGAATAAAAGACATGAAGAGACATTTCTGAGGAATTGTTTCTTCAGTTGAACTCAGGAGGAATTATAGATGTCAACCATGCACATGAAAAGATGTTTAACGTCATAGTCATCAGAGAAATGCAAATTAAAACCACAATGAAGGGCTTCCCTGGTGGCGCAGTGGTTGAGAGTCCGCCTGCCGATGCAGGGGACAGGGGTTCGTGCCCCGGTCCGGGAAGATCCCACATGCTGTGGAGCAGCTGGACCCGCGAGCCATGGCCGCTGAGCCTGTGCGTCTGTAGCCTGTGTTCCGCAGCGGGAGAGGCCACAGCAGTGAGAGGCCCGCGTACCGCAAAAAAAAAACCCAACCACAATGAGGTATCACTACAAATCCACAAGACTGGCTAAAATAAAAAGTAGTGAAAACACCAAATACTGGTGAGGGTGTGAATAAACTGGATCACTAATACTTTTCTGGTGAGAGTATAAATGGTACAGTCGCTCTGGAAAACATATGGCAGTCCTTACAAAACTAAACATGCAATAATACACAACTTAGAAGTTGTACTCTTGAGCATTTATCCCAGAGAAGTGAAAACTACGTTAACCCAAAAACCTGTACATGGATGTTTATAGCTGTGTTATTTGTAATAGCCTAAAATTGGAATCATCCCACATGCCCTTCAACCGATGAATGGTTAAACAAACTGTGGTGCATCCACACTATGGAATATTGCTCGGCAATATGAAGGAGTGAACTACTGTTAAAGGCAGCAGCTTGATGAATCTCCAGGGAATTACGCTGATGGGAAAGGCCAATCCCCAAAAGTAACATACTGTATGATTCCATTTGTATAACATCTGAAGTGACAAAATGGTAGAGGTGGAAAACAGAATATTGGTTGCCAAGGCTTAGGGATGGGGTAGGGGTGGATGTAGCTATAAAGGGGTAGCACGAGGGAGCCCTTTAGTAAGGCTACAGTTGTGTATCTCGACTGTGATGATGGTCACACAAATATACACATATGGTGAAGTCCCATAGGACTACACTACACACACACACACACACACACACACACACACACACACACACAAGTGCGTGGAAAACTACAGATGTTACCACTGGGGGAAACTGAATGAAGGGTACATTGTACAAGGCTACCTTCCCTGTACTTCAACTTCCTGTGAATCTATAATTATTTCAAAATAAAAATTATAGAAAATATTAGTTTTTTAAAAAGCATCCATATAATCTTGCCCATTCCAGAGCCCAAGATGTTAAGAAAAGGAGAGTTAACTTTATCTCTTATCTTCTTACAGGACCTGTACCTGCCTCTGTCCTTGGATGACTCAGACTCACTTGGTGATTCCATGTGAAGGAGGAGAATGTTCACAGTCCAGAGTACAAGCTTACCGTTACGATAGGGTACTTCTGCTCAAGTGTCCAACAGGGCTATTGGTGCTTTCAAGTTTTTATTTTGTTGTTGTTGTTGTTACTTTTAAAAACACACTGTAATATGTTGGGTTTATTTTCCTGTGATTTGTCATCTGGGCCACTGATCCACAGTTACCAATTATAAGAGATAGACTGATAACCATCCTTTGGGGTAACTTTCCAAGGATGCGAAATGTGCTAGTCTATGACCTTTCTATTGAATACTTAGGCGCCTGCATTATTTTTCCCCGTCTCACTTTGCTCATACATGACAGTCTTCCTTCTGTAGAGAGCTGTTTACATACATGGCACTTAAGATGTGTGTGTGGGGGAAGAAAACTCATTGGCAAATCCAAGAGTGACAAATACAAGTGCCCCTTGTCTCCCCATCTCAAGAATGCTGGAGGATCCTTGGAAGACGGCAAGGCAGCTCCCCAGCCTGGCTCTTCACTCCTGACTGAACCCCCAGTTTGTTGTTTAGCGCCAATTCTGGCTGTCAAGGGGGAGAGAGAAACACCAGCAACTTGTCATTCTGACACCAGATGCTTAGGACCCCGGTGCAGGGCTACCTTAAAGAAACCAGGCAAAATTGGAAAACACTGTAGACATTTCAGTAGTGTTTATACAGCACAGTGAATTCCTTGTCAACATCTCCACTGGGGCAATTTAGAATCAATAAGCAATTAATAAGAGTTGGGGGTGAGCGGCTTCCATATACCTGATTCCTCTAGGAGGCTGTCTAACACAAACCGTACGGTATCCATTTCTCTCTGTTCTATTGAATGCCTTGTCAACAGCTAACACTGAAAACACTGTGAGAATTTGTTTTCAGGTCTGACACCTTTCGGTCGCTTTTTATAGCAAGAAACCAATATCCTTTTTATAAAACCTCGTGTCTATATTTCAGGAGCAAACTCTTCAGGCTCCTTTTTTATAAACTGGTGATTTTTCTTTTGTCTAAAAAACACATGCAGAAAATTTACCAAAAAAAAAAATGCAGAAGAATAACGTAGTTTAGAAATCATGCTGTCACTGCCAAACAGAAACCTCCAGGAAAAAACAAAATGAATAGCAGAGGCCAATTCAATAGAATCAGTCTTTTGATAACTCTTTAACAGTTATGCTTACATTAATAATTTCAATGTGGACCAGACATTCTGATTATATTTTAAATGAAATGTTATGGCATATTTTAAGCAGCTCTTTTTTATCTATAATCCTGATATTTCATACTGAAGACAGAGAGTCCTTTCACTTGTTTTTAACACTAGAAAGGATTTCTCTTTGCTAAGGACTGATCATTTGAAATAGTTCTCAGTCTTTGAGGTACAGGTTCATAACACTGCTTTTTGTCTGTAATCATAGCCCATAATAGCAAAGGCAACTAAATTAAGTGAAAGCCATGCATGCCAGTTCTGTGTTTGCTTTTAGCAGATATGAAGATGTCCTTATTTCTTTGTAATTGTTCAAATAGTTGGAAAGGCGCAGCATTTGAAGCCAAGCTGCTGTTTGGCTATTGAATGACTTGCATTTGTTCCTCCACTTTAACTAGAATGAGCTTGCTCTGTGTGTGTGTGTGTGTGTGTGTGTGTGTGTGTGTGTGTGTGTGCAGCTGCTTCATAATTAGGAGATATTACAGGACACCCCGACATGGATCAGTGACAACTTGGTGGCATTGCTGATGTGCACTGGGTAGGAGGAAACTTGTGATGGAAGGGGTAGATCAGATGCCCCTAGACAAGCTTCAGGTGTCCTTAGCTACATAAAACAGTTTTGCTTCAAGGAAAGTCCAGATGTTGGTAGTATTGATTCCTGGTAAAACTGGTCATTGAAGAACCCAAAATTATGAGAATCTCTTTTTGCCCCTCTCCTTTATTTGTAGGCTGTTAGAAACCATTAAGAAGCCCATTGTACTTACCCCCTACTTGTTTCTAGAAGTTCAAGGTTTGCTTAGTGCCTGCCAGAGCAATTTGTAGTTAATTGGGAAAAATTGGTACTTGGGTTGGAGGATGTGGAGAGTGGTAGGAGGTCTGTTTCTAAACTGCAGGCCCGTTTCCCCAAAGATTTCACCCACAATCTTTCCCCAGATCTCATTTAGTCCAATTCCTTCGATTTAAGATGAAATGCAGGCTGAGGCAGCCAAATGACCTACTGGTAGAGAGCAGGACCAGAGGAGAAACTCAGATTTCCTCATGTCCATGCTACACCTCTGAGTGTTCCCTTGTTCCCTTGCTTGTGGCATAAGTACCATTAGAAAATATTCAGTGGCCATATTTTCTTTAGAATGATCTTTCAACCTTCTATAATAATCAAAGAATTCCTATTATTGTCTTCTATAGTAATAGAATTTCTACCTTTAAAAAAATAATAATAGAATTTCTACCTTTAAAAAAATCAATTATAAGGAAATGTTTCTGTACTGCCACTTTAGGGGAGTTTGGTATAGTTCAAAATTCAAGCCTTTAACAATTGCATTTTAAATTGGCCCATTTTCAAGGCAAAAAGAAATCTGGTTCTTACTGAGCACCTTCACCCCTGTCATTGGTTCTCAATTTTATCCAATCCAGTTTTACTACGAAAGTCCCATTGTGTTACCTTCTGCACAGGCAGCAAGTAGCAAGTTACTCAGCAAGGATTTGCCGCCACTCCCCCAGCCCCAGTCTCCCTCCCTCTAGGACACACACACAGACACACACACAATCCATCTGTTGCTTGTTCCTACCTCCTGATTTTTCTTCCTTACAGAAATAGAAATAGGGACAAAGAAAGGGAAAATGTATATATGGGGCTGGGCTGAACAACTTCATAAGTAGTGTTAACTAGGGGTAAATTGAGAGAAAAGTTCCTTTTCTCTTCACTGTTTTGGAAAGGATAGCCATTAGCATGACTGCTTTGTGTCCTTAAGGACTTTAGTGTTAGCCTAGATTGAATCATAGAGTTTTCTAGCTGGAAGGAACCTTAAGATCATATCATCTACTCCAAATTCCTCATTTTCAGGCCAGGAACGGAGATGCAGAGGTAAAGTAATTTCCCCAAGGTCACACAGCTGGCTAGGGGCAGAGCTAGGATTAGAACCCACATCTCCTGGCTCTTATTCCAAGGCCTTTTCCCACTGAACTGTATTGCCTTCCACTAGGCTCCTGAGAATTCTTTCCCGGGGTCATGTTGCATCTTGGAGCCATATGCCGCTGCCCTGATCTCAGTGGGAAATCCACCCAGCAACCTAATACGGCTCTTTCTCCCTATATTCACATGGTCCCCATCCACATGGACTGCAGATGTCCCCAGAGAGAAGGAGGCATTGAGGACCAACAGGAACAGTGGGGTTGCTGACCTTGTCTGTCCAACACAGGGGATCACTGCCCTACCTTGAGGAGCCCTCAGAACAGCCCCCGGAGCTCCTTCCCTGTTCAGATGGGATGGGGGAAGACTGGTGTCCCCTGTCGGCTCACTTCATCTCATCTCATACTGGTTGGTCTTTGTAGGCTGAGAGAAATGTTTCTTGTTCCTAGAGCAGGGGAAAGAAGGATGGGAGAGAGGAAGGGAGGGAAGAATAATAGCTTTGTTCATCCTGACTTTCTGAGATGACTTTTAAGTATTTTTTTAAATGAGTGTGGCTATCATTCACTGGCAATGATTTCTTTTAAAATATGGGAGTGAGACAAACTAGAGAAAATAACCTGACCGTTGCCCTCATCCACAATGTCCCCATAGCCATCCTGCCCTGATGGGGACAACTTCCAGGTATAAGCAAGGGGCTTTGTGACTAAAATGTACCCTGGCTGATGTTAAACATTGACTCCTTGTGTTTGCACTAAAATAGCAAGCTATGTGCTGTACACACCATACGTATCTTCTTGTGTGCGCTGCTCCTGCGGCCTTCCATGGCAGAAACCAGGGCAACAAGGTCTGAAGACGTAGTTTTCCTCACAGCAAGGTTCTTCCTGGGAACTAGGTATTCGTTAGTTGAGTTCCAAAAGACCTCCTTCTGGGCTTACCCCACTCCTCAGGAAATTCTGTCTCCTTCCTGCTTTTCCTCCTCAATCAGAAGTAACCAAGGAACCTCAAAGGAGATGTGTTGTTATCAGAAGAAGGCAAGAAGAAGGGGTCTGAGCCTCTAGATCCTTCTTTGAATCACCCAACCCAAGTCTTAGACCAGCAATCCAGTGCTTGCCTTGGACAAAATTGTGTCTACTTCTTAGTCCCTTCAGTACTCTGGATGGACGTGTCCCCAATCCCCCTCAGATTTTTTTCTAAATAGCTTATCTTTTTTAAAAAATGCATCTACCAAGGGCACAAGCATGCCCAATTCTCCAAGATGAGCTCCAGCACACTGATGAGAATGTTCCCCAAGCTCAGCGCACCTCAAAAACATCTATGCTTAGAGACTTCCCCAGACTGATGCACTGGGACAGTGGGGTTTGAATGACCTCCTTCACTGTCCAGTTTGCCATGGGAATAAAAAGCATGGATATTTCTTTTAAAAAAAACATTGGAACTTGTCCTTGGCCACATGGGGCCACTTGGATTTCGAAGACCAGGCCTCACTCACGTATTGTCTTCATTGCATTAAGAGATTTGGCTTTGAGGCCTAGGCTGGCTTCCTAAGTAAACCATCACTGTTTTGAAGCTCATCTGGGACTGGGGAGGGGTTAGAGTCCTATGTTTTAGTACCAGGAAACTAGATAGAATAAAGGCCTAGCCGTTGATATGCCGGAAGTGACCTGAGACCTCCTGTGTAGCCATGGAGCCTTGCAATTGCTGGGCTTCCTAGGTCTCTCTCCTGGTGTGAAACTTTGAGGCTGTCACACTTCTGCCTCCGCCCAAGAAGGAGACCCCATATGTAGCCTCACCCACTGCTCTGTGATTCCATGCAGGGTTTCCTCTTCTTTGTAGTTGTGACCACCTGGAGCAAGAATACTGCCTTGATTCCTCTCACCTACCTTTTGGCTGGAGATACATCTCCAACATTTTCTCTGGCTTCTGGTGGCCCAGACCCAGTCCAGTGCTGTTAACCCTCAATGGATTACCCTTAGTCAGCCCTAAGCACTATGATCATGGACCAAGAGAACACAAATCATTTCTTAAAAATGAATTCCCAATTTTATTCTTCCTCTGGCTAGCAGAAGTCACTTCCCTAGTAGATACAAGGCTGGAGGTTCTCGCCATACAGCAGCCAAGATACATCCTTAGGGAGGAAAATGCACAGAGCACTGGCTCCAGCGGGCAACCTACTGTGGACTGAGACTTGGCAGCTTCTCCTAGCCCCCTCCACTTTTTCTTTTCAGAGACCAGAAGGCTCCTTCTCCATCAGCCGGTCTTTCAGTATGTCTGGCTAAAGAATTTTGCTCCTCCTGTCTCTTCAGGAGAGGGTGACTTCCTTCTCTTCTGTCTCTCCCACCCTAGTCCCCAAGCTCATCTCCATCCTCAAAGATCTAGTGTGGTCTTTATACTTAGCCTCTTGGTGTTTCTTCCTGCTTGTTTTCTGTTAAGGATCCAAGCAGGCCTCCCACTGTGGCCTAGGCAGTGCAACACTGGTTATCATATGACAAGACTCTTGAGCCCCTACCCCTTCTAACTGCCTAACTTTTTATTCCTTAGTCTATAGGCTTCAACATCTTCTGGAATCAGAAGCAATCTTGTCTTACACTGGTTGCCCGGGGCTAGGGGAGTATGGAATTCTCATTGGGAATTAAGGCATCTTCCTGCTCCAGATGAGAACGACAGAATAATTGGGAGAGGACAGATAGCACAACAGAAGTCAGAGCAAACATCTTGTAAACTAAACTAAGACAAAGACTTAGAGGCACTGGAACTTTTCATTTATGGGTTAATAACCTGAGGAAATCAATGGCTTTTTGCCGCTCTCTACCTTACCTCCCCTGTGTATCTCTTAGTCTTTTCTTTCTCTCTCTACTTCACCATATTTGCTCTCAGTTTTATACTCTGTTTTATCACGCTCTCTTTCCACGGTACAAACATCTCTCCTTTGTCCTCTGCAATTCTTCTCTCTTTTATTCTCTCCCTTTTTAATTTTTTTCCTTCCTCCTTATCTAGGTGTTGGACATATGCCTCTTCTTAGCCCTGTGATTTTGCCTTGGTGATGAGAGGTTATTTCCAGACTCAACGAGCCCTGATCCTACCTGAGTCCCGTTAGAAGTTTGTTGGTGGGAATCAATCCGATCCTGGCCCTTTCTTCAACATTTTCAGTTGTAATTCCCGGAAGCAGATCCTCACAAGCAGTTTCCCTATAACTCACGTATCTCTGGCTCTTTGCCTTCCAAGCATTGTACAGAACACTTTGCGGTTCCTTTTAGTCCACCATTTTGTGGAGCAGTGAAGCGTGCTCAGAGAAATAATCAGCTGAACAGAAGAATCCACCTGTGGATTCATATCAGCTAAATACTATGAATTGATTTTGTTTAATTTGCTCATAACTTTAAAATCTGCAATACGATGTAGTGAGAAACCACAGGTAATTTCTCCTGTCATTTGGTGTTGGGTGGGGGAACAATTTGTTTAAAGTTTTACTGTTACACAATAAGCTCTCTATAATAACCTTATAAACATAAGGCTTGCCAAATGT